CCCAGGAGTCCTTCGAGAGGCAAATGGATCTATTTTTAAGGATTAAGGATAGTATCATGCTATGATTTACCAATTTCTCTTTCCTCTTTTATTGTTAACATACCTAGGTTCCTGCCTGAAGGTTTTGGTGACCCCCTGCTACTAGACACGGAAGCCTGTTAAGCGAAAGCTCCTTTCATTCCATCCACAACCATTTGAACACATGAACTAGGTGCTGAGAGGCTCGCTTATCACAAGTTTCTTGCAACAATTAAGTGGATAAAACAAAGTAGCATTAGATTCAAAAAATTATTCAAGAACTTTCATTAAGAATCTAATATCAAACAAAGGTTTAAACCAAGTTCCCGTTTAAATGTTGTATTGGTAATGTTAAGCTGCAGTTTTTGTTGTTTTTTTCCAAACGAAAGAGTAAAAGAAGTCAAAAAATACTGGAAGTGGTTGTGAGACTAAAATGGACGTCCAGCATCCTTTTTATAATCTGCTGTTCGTTGGGTCTCCCGTAAACAGTTCCATAGGGCCACAGTTCCAAGGGCGAAACAGTTTTAAGGGTCTGTGAAGGCTCACTCCTGTTGTATTCTAAATGAAAAAAATAGTGATGAATTTAGTCAGAAATGTGGAATAGATAAATTTATTCATGTTTTTTAGCAAAGAATTTATGCAGTTGTGATTTACCTTGAGTTCATGAATATTATATAAGGTCAGCTACTATTACTTGCGCAAAGCATAACATGGGCTTAGTACCGTATTGCAATGCTTTTAGTATTTTGCTCCCATTTAAGTATTCCCATGTATCTGAGTCTAGTTTAACAGGAAAACATACAAGCAGAGTAAGTGTATGATAAACTAAAAGTCCCAGTTGTCAAAAAGATTCTTAACATTTTTCCATAGCCAGCTGCATTTAAATGAGACACAGACCACTCATCTTCTAAGACTGTATACTGCTGTTTTGCGAGCAACTAAAAGCTCAGACACTTAGCTATCTTGCTACCGATGTTATTGCTGGGGAAATTGTTTAATGACAGTGATCATAAAATATGGTCAGTGATAGATGTACAGTTTAGAAATAAACACCAAACATACTTATCGCTATCTTATAATGTATGACAGCAACAGCATCAGAGGCACGTTTTTTCCTATTTTTAATCAGAATGATCTGAATCCGTATACACAGTAGAAACAGGCAACTCTACTTACTAAACTGATCTGTTTCGTTACAGGCTTCAAGTACTATACTTAAGTATATCATAATTCTTTCAACTAAACTGAATTATACGACAACCAAGAACACTAAACTAAGCAAGTGTCATAGTTATTGTTTCACTTGAAAAGACATGTTGCTCAAAGTAGTTAAATGGACATAATTAAGCCGATAAAACCAAAACATGAAATACAGGCCAGTTGAACTTACCTAAGAAAAAAAGAAGGATACATATATACTGCTTTCATACTGAAGACAACAGGCAGTTGTTCATAGAAACATAGTTTATAGAACAACAAACCTTTCTTCAGTAAAATCATGCACTGACAGTCTATCTGGAAACAATCAACTATGTGAATAAACTCACTATGACTTGAGATATAATCCCAGCGTGCAATGGACGCACAATGTAACGCAGTCAGACGTGGCGAATAAAAATTAAAAACAGAGCAAAATTAACAACGTAATCTAGTTATTTAATTAAAAATACATTATGAAATGACAAAATCTGTGGTTACTTGAACGCACAGATGACGATACATTAAGTTTACATGGTTGCGTTCCGGATAAGTTCATCCATGAGTACACCTTGATAACGTGTCATCACAGCAGGGGTGATTAAGAAGTGGTATTGTTCACTCTTCCGATAGCTGAGGGATATGGTTTATCTGAGAAGTAACTATGCGGAGATTTATGCATACAAGCTGATTGGAGGATTAACGTTTTGAGAAAGACGATTCCATTAACACTCTCCGAGACGTTTTAAAAATTTATTGTAGTAGATCGAACACTATGAAAATGCCTTCAAAGTATCTTTCAGATGGTACTATTATTTTTTAGTATCCCTCCTTGTCGTGCATTTTGACAGTTACTCAGAACTCGCTCGGCCAGGTTTTATTTTTTTCTTTTGTGACTGGTCTTTTACTCTTTGACCTTGCCGATGAAGTTGTGTTTGACCAAACTCAAGGCCACGGCGAAAGATAATCAACCATCGTTGACTTTTGATTGCCAGCTGTTGACGCTTGTATATAGATAGCTAGTCCTGTCTCATCGGGAACATTCTTACTGATTCTCAGGTACGCAATAGTCCCGCAATTTGGTTCAATCAAATAAAATATAGCTCGTCGGTCTTCTGCATTTAGACGCATCGGAATCTGAAAATTTATTATACGGACGTTCAGTTATGTTGTAGTCGGTTTTATTGAGCACTCTGTGTAATGTTAAATATGCTAAGGTTGGTATGGATTTGGAGTGAATACCAAACAGAAGTACGAAGGGTGTCCTCTATTGACCGAAACGTTGATACTCAGTTGTCTCGGTGGAATAATGACGTCGTTCTAACTGCTGGAACCCGCGATTAATGTCGAGAACTTCATATTATTTTGGTCTATGTTAGTACCAGTAGACCTATGCGTGCCAGCAGAATCACAAACCCAACCAAAGACTGTGAATTTGCCATGATATGACTGCCTAATGTACAAGATCTTACATGTAAACCACGTCAGTGTTTATACTGAATTATCAAATAGTGACAATCAGTAATGTGGTTTTGGAGAACCAATACAGAATGAATCGAAAGTCGTGACAGAATAATAGGCAAGATAATAATTTAGGGGCGAACCAATCACATTCAAGATAGCAGATTTGGGATTTTGGTGCGAAATTCACCCACCCCTTTGGTTAAATAACATTTTGTCATCATACCTGATGTCAGTTCGTGATGAAAACATCAAATCTTATTCGGAACACTAACGTTCGACAGTAAATCCTAATTCCTACCATTAATCTATAACCCTACTAAATATGTGGACATTCCATGCTCATTTTAGAGCTACCTAAAAGTCGCTCTTATGCCGTAGTCTTGCAGAATTATGGTCTACTATGATATTAGTACTGCTCTTATAATCGACCTAATCCTAAAATTGCAGATTTGTCATGATATAGCTGCCTTATCTATAAGATCTTATGTGGAAGCCACATCATTGTTTACACTGACTCATCGTATCGTAACAATTACCAATATATGATGGAGAACAAGCTTAGGCTAGAGATAGAACAATATGGTTGATATGAGTAAAAGATATGAAGTAACATCCAACAGGGACCACGCCTGCATGACCGAACCATGCCATTCAACCAACTCGAATTAATTCAACTCCTTGTTCCCGCTTTATCCATCGTTGGGATTTTCTCCGCGTTAAATGTTGAACACCTATTTTCTCAAGTGCCTCGTGTTCAGCATTGAGGATTGTGTGGTTAAGGCCTAATGCCACTACAGATAATCTTACTGAACACCAAACGGATTCATCAAGATTAATAAACTTTTGGTTGTGAACTTGGTGTACCTCTATGCATGATAGTATGTATAAGGCTACTCCACTCCCAATTCTTGTTTCTCTGTCATTGCGAAACAAAGACATCCAAGGTATTGCTAGCTCCTGGTTCGTAAGCTGAGAAGATGTCCAAGTTTCAGAGATTCCTATCAGATGAGCATTATTAGCATTAGTGAGTTCACGTAGCTCCTCCATTTTAATAGGTAAACTCGCCGTGTTCATGTATGAGCAGGTTATGCTTTCAATTTGAAAAGCGTGAGCATCCCCGTCCTCTTTGTCTTTATGAGCCGTACGTGAATGGACAGGTAGCCTAACTATGAAAGGTATTTCGAGTTGGCAGCCCCTGTCGTTTTCACGTTTTTATGATCAAGACAGTTCACAATTGGAATGATCAGCTCCAAATTGTCTTTGTGCTTCGTCCTGGAGTCGTGTGGCCTACCCGGATGAATACGGATTCCAGCTGGCAACCGACATTTGTTGGCACGAAATGCTTCCAGAGTTGCAGCCGCCATATGAGGGATGGAAAGGTTATATTCATCAGCCGGGGTCTAGAATTTCCGTCCATCTTGGCTAGTCTCATCACTTGTTCAGTCAATGTGTTTTTAGGCTTCGTGGACTGCTTGATGAATTTACATTCCCCAATATCAGGGTTAGTGTGATCAGGGTTTGTGTTTTCCAGTACACCTTGCACAGTAATATTTCTTTCTCGGAAAAGCTTCTCGAGAGATTCCTTAGGAATGTTCCGGATGTCAGGCAGTATTCTTATATACACATCTGATTTCAGTAAGTGACTAGCTAGTAGGTTATCATCTACGTCGGTAGCGTTGGTGTGTGTTGCACGAAGTAGCCTTGAGTGGTTTTGACGCGCATGAAATTGAGGAGTCCGGAGATATATTTACAAGGCCATAGACATGTCGAGAAGCGTTTTGTCTAGCCTTGCTAACAGTTGGAAGGGATTCGTAACCTGGTCCGAATGTGTGGCTGAGAGTCTTCAGGTGTGTCAAGTAAAACTAGTGAGTTTGGCATCAATGGCGAAGACTTACAGAACTGTTTACTTTGGGAATATATTTACAGCTACAAGTACCTTTCTTTATTACCTTTTTTGTGATAAGCTGATGGAAACTATGAGGATTCGAATAAGTCCTTTTATTTCATTGGCAAAACTTCAATGTCCATCTGAGACATGCTGCAGACTACAAATACAACTTCGGTAACCTATCTCTGGAAGTATCTCGAGTTGAGAAATATCTAGAAGTGTTCGTACCCTATGATCTGAAATTTTACGTTATTTGCGAAAAAAGTGCCCTCCAAGCAAAATTAGTGTGAAGACCATCAGAAGAGATAACCTCTAGCCCTTCAGTCATTTCATTAAAGAAAGAGAATACAGTCAATATTAAAAAAAGTTTAATATGGGCATCTGACTCAACGGAATAATCATAAATACCAAGGGCTACAGTGGGGGTAAATTTAAAAAGGACGGGTTAGTTTGTTGGGCGCGGTCTGTGTGTTTGCGACGCATTCGAGACTTTACGCTACCAACTCGTTTCCTTTATCAGATTGTCATAATCTTACCACTTCGTTAATACTGACTGTCGTTGGTTGTTTTGATTATTAAACGTGAGCGTATCGCATGTAATCAGAGTCGTCGGCTTACTTTTTCTTTTATTCTTTCATCCAGATTTCACCATAAATTGCTTCTCACACTCCTCCCAACACACAGAGTACTTTAAGTCTGGACGCAAACCTGCAAAAAGCTGAACGTCATGAAGACAAAAGAGTCTCTGAAAAAACTACAGGATGCTGATAAAGTTTTCGATTTAGTGCAAAGGCTTTCTTCAGAAGACAGTGCAGTTGCTAGCATAGCTTGCAAAGAAGCCGATGATTTTCTTAAACAAAAGTGCAGTGATGGCAAGTGCTAACGCTAGTTTCCTTTTTATGGTAACTATAGGTTTTGACAGATCTGTTATCAATAAATTGGACCAACCTTCAAAAAACTTAGGTAATACTTATTGTTTGTGTCTTTCACTTGAAATATGTGTATAGAATTGTGTTTCTTGTGTTATTTAGTGGTTTATTCCTCTTTGACGGGAAACGATCAATATTGGTTGGGTCCGCTATGTGTCCTGTTTTTAGTGATGCCACTTGAAATAAGTTCAGGGCTAACAGACACGATCTCATTGTAATTTTGACTAATTTTGATCCCTTATTCACATGGCGTACTCCTTAAATACTTGATATTTTTAGTCCTTAGGAGGGGCTACTACACATATTTTCACGTCGTACTCATGAAGTTCTTTGAGTACTACTTTGAGGGCTGTTTTAGCATTCAATCTGGGGCGCTTTCCAGCGTTCCACAGGAATCTGATGTATCTGTACTCGTGAAAACTCCTATTCATTCACTAATGTACAGCGAACTCATATATGCACATCGATAAAGTCCCTGCTACTTCTCTGTAAAAAGAGTAATGTTTGACAAAAATCCAAAATTGACACCACTGATGTCAGTTTCATCTCTACTAGATAGCGTTTCCTTCATCTGAACTGTAGTCAGTATAGTTTTCCGAGAAAATATTGGTGCAAATGTACTGGTGTAAGGTTACGTTAGCGATAAATTAAAGTTGTATTATCTTTAGGGTTCTGTTTCGGAAAATCATTGTTTCTCGTGTTCCATAACTGGGGATTTTCGGATTACTGAGTGTCAAGTCAGTTGTCTGTGCATAAAAATAAGGTTGTCAAAAACCATAATAATCTCAAGTTTCTGAAGACTAAACTTAATGTTCAAAATACAAATGATTTACCCACGTGAAAATATTTGCTTAATTAATGAGGATTAGATGTTATTTTGCCGTAAAAACTAAAGCGAAAACTGTACAATCAAAAGCTTTCAACCAGTCGAAAATGTTAGTCACATATCAGGCTAACATTTGGTTGAAGTATAATATCTTCTATGAATACTTTTGAGATACAAATGGGATGAAATTCACTATTATTTATCATTTAAACACAAACATACAAGAAGGCACCAAACATATATATGCGCCACATAAATCATTCGATTTGTGTGATGGCTGGGATACTACCTGGGTGTCCAAACCGAAGCAGGATAAAATTCATAATATCAGACGTCCATCATACTTCCTATCACCAATTTTCTGCAATTGCAAAACGAATTTCTAAAAATCAGGTGTAATAGTTGTAATTTCTGTTCTATAGTGTAATTAAAAACTCACTTGTGACCCTTCAATTTTAAACCTTCCTAACTTTCTTTAAACACTCGGCCGCTCGTCATCAGCCTAGGGTCTGGTTGCCATAAACGTCCTCGGAAATGTCATCTCATGATTGACCTATTTTATTCTAGAAAGCTGATGGGGTTTGATATTTATACGTGGATTTGAAGTAAGACTTATTTGTGAGCATATCATTTCTGTTTGTGAAACTAAGTTTGGACCATGACCAATCCAGTATTCCAGGCTATATCTTGATTACTACTCATCATCACTCTCATATGATCAATTTATTCAGCAAGTTTCCTTCATGCCAGTTAAATTTGATCTCTTATTATATCGAAAGGTCGTTCTGAATAATTTTAGTAAGCTTTGCCACGGTCCAATTCTAGTTTATATAGAAAACAAATGCTCTCGTTCTGGGTCGACGGCTTATTTTAATGGACTAAAGTTGATGTTACTTCGTTCAGCGATCATACCTAGTCGTTATCTCCTCTTTTGGTATGCTTTGTATTCTTTGTGAACTTGTGAACGGTTTAGATACATTCGGATAAATAGTTGATAATGATATAGACATTAATTTCCTTATACTTTTTGTTGTACTCCTACCCCTTCGTCTAGATCTGTGTACACTTTTTTCCTTCATAATCAGGATAGAACTAGGCACAAATGTACGTTGACCTGCTTTGTCATTATTGTATAAGCAGGATGAAGTGAAAATAACAAGATGAATGGCGAAAGTGATCGAAATAATGTGGCAAAGATGGTAGTGAGGAAGGCTGGACATTAGAAATGTGGTTCGAAAAGACAGAGTGAAAAAGTCTATATCAAGGAATGCTTGAACTTAGGATAAATAATGAATGCATCTGCTCCATTGCAAGTGATTGTGACCGATTTTTTTTCAAAGTCCCCGACTACTGATCTTGATTATCATGAGGACCCCAACCAAGTAGTCTGCATTTACCAAAATGGCTCAGATCAACAGTCAGTGACTTCATCGACTGATACCATGTTCTGGCTTAGACGACTACAGATTTCTTCCATCTTACTCCTGCTCTACCCAACATTTCATGTCGAAATTTTCAGTGGTTTGTCATGCTTGACACGTCCAGACCAACTTAGTTAATGAAGGTTCACAACTTCACCAACCTATTTGTCAAGTGTTCCTGGTACTTAACTCACTCGGTCGTTCCTCAAAACATGAACAATGTTTCTAAGACACATGTGATCAAAAATGTGAGGTGCATATATGTCTTTTACTTTCAGTCATAAAGTAATATAGAGCGGATTGTTGTTCAGTTTACACACCCTTTATTTGGTAGATGGATATCTCTCCAGAGCCACAAGTAACACATGTTGGCAAATGCCAACCCTAGTTTCAGATTTTGTCAGGCGCTAACCCACCACAGCTGAAAGGACTTACAATATAAGTGGTGTTATGCATAGAAAAAACATATGTGACGGTATCAGGTAAAAGTAGAAATAGTAGATCTCCATTACAAAAGCATAGTGTTTTCATTTTCTTAAACAGGGACTACATATTTGTTATACATGAGTTTAGTATTCATAGGCTTATTGTTGAAAATTCATTTCTCCCGAAGAACACCTAGGTGTAGTTCAGTTGACACTGTTCTTATTATTCCTACCCGTTATCTTATTCAGATGAGAAACAGTTTTCATATACATTTCCCATGGAAATTTAACAAAAGAACGTGTATGAATTTACATTCACTATATGTAAATGATACAATTTTCTTGTGTTATATAGTTACTGGTTTTGGAACTTTTCCACACAGATGATGTAACTGGAAAAGGGGATGATGTGACTGCATTTATGACTGCGGTTGCACAGGACGCACAAGAACGTGCTGAGCGACGAGCTAAGCAACGAGAACGTGCGGATAAACTCAAGGATCGTGCAAATACATTTTTCAAAGCTGGAAACTGTAAAAAAGCTGTTGAGTTGTATTCACAGGCAATCGATGTGGCAAAGGATTACGATATTTTATATACTAATAGAGCTCAAGTAAGCTACAAGTAAAACTGACAGCATTTTTTCATGCTGATTAATAAATTAAGAGATAGGTATGATTTATAATATGTTCTAGCCTTTACACGATGGTATCTTCTTATATCCTTCAGCGTTTTTACCTTTTTAGATAGACTTCAACAAAAATTTCCATACCCAATTCTCATATCTCTATATATTTACGGTTTTACTCCCGCTTAGCTCCGCCGGAAAAGCAATCTATATCTATCACAACTGTTTTTTTTTTGAGGTCCATTCCTTTTTCTGGTAGTTAGTGGGTGGCTACTGAATTATGCCATATATGATATACTCTCACCCATCGTACATCATAGTATTCTGTCAACTTCACACAAAACTTCATGATTCAAAAAATGATCGCTTTAATGAGTTTGAAAACACATTGTATTTCTACATGAAAGGTTAACAACTTTTTAATAAACTGGAATATACATTGTGTTGCATTCTTATCGTTTTCTTATTCGTCATGAGAATAATTTTTATCAGAATCATACAATATATCAGGGTGATATATTTTATACAATTTGATCACATATTAGGTTGTTAGTGCACATAAAAAGCACAAACAAGTGAGATATATGGAAACATAAAAAAATGATAATAAGAGACTGTTATTCACACTGTCCTTAACGCTAAGATTAAAGTCCATATTACCAAAGCTTAGTTTAACTACAACTATTTTCTGAATACACCATGGAGGTTTAAATTTCCGTAAGTATTGGGTTTCAATAAATATAGTTATTTGACTCAGATCAACTTTCTGTATCAATACGAAGGGTGTTTTTAAAACAGCTCATGACCAGTTTCGTCATAGGTTAAATTAATTGCTTATAATCCGTTTTTAGTGGGATGCTGGAGTATATTTATCTTCGCAGCCATAATGGTACATATTCAACCATCATATAGCAAATAAAGTATTTCATTTCTCCAAGATTCTATCCGTTTCATTACAAAGGTTGGAAAACAGTTCGTCTATCTAAATCAAATGGCCATGCAAAGAAAATGTAAAGGAAATCACCAACCTGTTGGAGGAAATACTAGAAATGAGTGAAAAAACCATGAGCTGTACTTCGTACCCCGGAAAAGTTCATATTTACCTTACTGTTGAACTAGTAGCACTCCAGAATATATTTCCCAACTACTAAGCGGTTAGAGATGTTTGATAAGGCTACTGAAAGTCTCTCGCAGTGGCTCAGTTGGGTTAATTCCTTACCTCCCTTTAAATTTTAAGTCGAGTGTTATTCCGTGCTTTTTATTCGTTGACTTCATTCGTCCCTTGAAATTTACTACACATTCTGCACAAATCCACGACGTCACTTTCAAATTTGATTTAATTATTCAACAAACCAACTTTTTATCAGTAGTATATACGTGATGATCTTACCGTACACCAACAATGCATACTTTGAATTAAATTCCCTTAAACGTTTCATGTATTCTGACTGCATTAGTTGTGCCTCCTACTCTTAGAGTATTAAAAAATCGCTGCAATTAGCTGATTATTTTATCATAGTTCAGAATTTTCTGCTTATTCTACACGGAATGTAAATGACAAAAATTAGTGTTATCTTTTGTCCCTCCATAGAGATTTCACTAGAAATCAGGATTAATGTAACACTGAAAAGGTCCTTGCACGCAATTAATTTACTACCGATTTTTAATTTAAGCATAGAAACAGATTGGTTTGTATGCAACTGTTTTTGTATTTGGGTTGTAAGAATAACTCACCGTATTCATGTATCACTCAATGGGTTCAGAAGATTACATTTCATTAAAAGTCTCATGTGACAAAAATTGAGCAGTAGTTGACAGTACGCTTATGTTTAGATGTATTCCACATTAATTAATATGGATTCCATACATCATCAGGGTACTAACAGGTCTCTAATAACAGAAAGCTTAATAACAGTTTATGTAGTGTGTAGGAAGGTTTTCTTATCATAATGAATCTATATTAAGTCAAAATTTCAGAATTACTTCGTTTAGATAGGTTGCTAATACCTACTAAACCATTAACGGTGTCAGTTGTTCGCGGGAGTAGATCACTTCTAAACATATGTCAATGTTTATCGGTATGTCATAACCCTAAATGCCTTTTCAATTATAAACATGTAAGCACATTAAACGGAAACCATGAAAATTCCTAAGCCTTTCTTGCCTCAAAACAATAGTATCGACTTTAAAATGCTAGACTGGTATCAGTTAGTGAACAATTATCGACTTTCTCACTTTACTGATGTCTTATTCTGCTTCATACCGTTCTGTATCTTGTAAAGAAGTAGTCACTTTTAATGATTAGTTTATGTTATTTGTTATAAAATCATTTGAAAGTTGTTATGTAAGTTGTGTCCTGTTTTCAAGTGAAGTAACTATTCGCTTCATAATATATTATAACATTATTCTAGTCACACTATAATTATGAAGACACAAATTTTTCCTTTTATAATCGGTCTGAGAATTACTAGACATCCGTCATTTCAAAAAAAGCGTTGTACAGTTTTTCATAAGACATTAAACCATCAATGACCTATCGACAGAGAGTTTTATGGACATTTATCAAACTTAACCGTAAATACACGTATACATTCACATAATAACAATATTCGTTAAGTTTTCGGGCACATTTCTCACAAATTAATCACTTTTCAGTGTTAAATACTAACTTTAAAAACCTTTATAATTAAAAACATTTACCTATGTTGTTCCTGCATCGATGCTTTTATTTTCGGGTTCTCTTTCTTAATATTTAGGCCTATCTTCGTCTTGGTCAGCCTGATTTATCACTAAAAGATTGTGACACTGCTTTACTACTATTTCCAGAAGCTCAAAAACTAAATTCTGATATAAAATCTACAATGGTGAATAATAATAATCGTGATGTTGTTTCTAATCCTCGTCTAGCTAAAGTTTATTTACATCGTGGTAAAGCATTAATGTCCCTTAATCGACCATCAGAAGCACTTTCCGCATATTCATTATCTCGTTATTATTCAGCATCAAAAACTGAAAAATATACATCGACAAAACTGAATAGTGAAAAATGGCCAAATTATTTAATTGAATATGTTTCACAAGCTGAAGCTGCTTTAATTGCTCAAGAAGCCGATGCAAAAGCTGAAGCAAATTTCGCCCAATCAGCCATAGGCTTTAAATTAAATGTGAATGATGAAAACTCGAATAATATTCCTTCTAGGTTGGTAATCTTTATCTAATCCTCTTTTCTTTTTAGTTTTAGTCATTAATAACAGGTTTATGCTGATTCTTTGTTTAAATCTATGTAATTTCTTATATTTTGCTAGTACAGTCAAGTAAGTTTGAGACAGCTGGTGGGATCGCATCTACCACCTTAACGTAGTATTCGGGGTTATTTATTGTGATGACCTAACCGAGTTATGTCGACTGTAACACTTGTTTTTACCGTACCAAGCAGGTCAGTTGAAGGACAGCGACTAAAAGCAGCAATCTAGGTTCCGATAGTCAAATCATATGGCTAACCATACTAGAGTAAAATATTTCTCTCAGCAAACCAGCGTCTGCATAGTTACTGCCTTCTCAATGGAAAAAAGGAGTTGAAGAAAAGTCGGCCCTAAAAATGTCACGCTTTACTTCACGGCTTTCTGTTTCCGACTGTAAGGCTTTTTAAAATTCGAGGCTAACAAATGAAAAACTTCCCATAAGGAGGCCGTGCGCTCTATAGTCAAGCTATGAGGTCCCTACGAACACAACTAATCCAATTTCCATTTCAGGTCCGTCAAGAAGAAATTTCCTTCCATAGCGTGTTCAGTCAGAAAGTGATGATCGTCTCCACACCTTTGACAGCATCCAAAATCATGTTCACAACACAGGGATCCTCATTAGTGTGAATCCATTTCTCCACCGGAAGTCAGACTCGGGACCTTTAAATAACTAAATGGTCATCCAAATGTTTTTATTTGTAATTTGTATTTTAATTCTTGTTAAAACGTAAAAAGGATTATTCAATAACCCATAATATAATCTGATTAGTATGACTGCTCCATAATTGTTTAATGTTTTTTTAAACATTTTTTAATGTAAACAGTTTTTGATTTATTGTATGACATGATGAAAGTTACAAGGTTAATTATTTGATTAGGATGCGATCAATTGATAATTGCTTACAAGACTAAGTCGACTTTAATCTATTACATTCACCGATAATTCCCAAATGAACTGCAATATAAAAAAAGTAATGATCAGTCAACAACATCAATCACAGTTGTATTTTTTTAAATTTTGAAAATAAGATTTCATAGATGGTGGAGATTTGTAGCTCAGGTGGATGATTTTGATGGAGTTTTGTTCTCTAAGCTGGATGGTTTGGTCGTAGAGCTTAGAGAACAAAACTCCATTAAAATTTCATACTTTCTTATGATGTAAAATTATAAGATAACGTTTTTCATTTGTATATAGATATATAATACATAACCAATAGTCGATTCAATGTAAAAGTGAATTTGTAGCATCGAATGGTTGTTCATTTTATTCCATTCATGTCATATGACAGTACTGATTTTTTTTAATTTTTCAAAAAGTTAGCTTTATTCTTAAAATCTTGTATGACTTTAAAAAAATTTCAGCATTAGTTTCTTTCAATAAAGATGTTCTATGGTAATGTCTGTCACTGTAGAGTGTTAGATAAATAAGTCGTCAGCTTCCTAAGAGCTTTCTTTGGTTTCATATGAACTTATGGAATATGAGTAGTGATGTTCGTTAGAGATATTCAGCTGTCCTACTGTTTTTTAATGAATTTTACTTTATCGTGAAAATTAATTGAATAGTTCTATTCAAACGTAGAGCCTTCGGATCAATACTATAGATATAACCAAACCGTAGATCGAATAATAATTTTGGGTAAAACGTTAAATAAATTGGTGGTTCTGTAAACCCCATGGTTACTGGAGCAAATTTTCTTGTAAAAATTCACTTTTGTCACCCTTATTATTACAGCCTGTTATCGAATACTCCCACGTAAAGCTTGTTGACATTTAGTATTTATCGGTTACCACTAGTAATTTTGAAGATACTTAATTTAGCTCTTAGTGGAGGAGACTCACGTGAATATGTTTGTTGTCGATTTTGTCATTTAATTATAAAGTGTGAATAAACTTGGCAAAATAACCATTTGGCAAGTAATAATAAGACTCACATGTTATACATTGTTTAGCCCAATGACATAGGTGGGTGAAACTATGTTCGCAACTTTTAGGAAGTGTGATTAATAATTCTCTATCTTTCTGATTTATTGCTTTCTTTAATCTTTCTCATTGAATCTATTTAAAATTATAAATCATTTATTATTTCACCGCAATCTAAGTTTAGCTTTTTGAACCTTCCCTCCTTTCATTTATATGTGTCTTCTAAACCTAGTATTGCCGTCTAGTTTTTACATTCGTAATCACAATAGTATCAGAAGTATCTAGTGTTTTGTGATATCCTTTTAGTTGCTACAGGCTTATCTTTTTTCCGTTAGTGAGTAAATTAACCAATATATGCTTTTTAAAAACTCATTTGGAGTGCAAACCACGTTTGATGTAGTTTTTTGTCACTCCATGTTAGTTCATTCTCTCAAGTATAAACTCGATGAAAGTTTCGTGATTCATATTCCCGCAATAATATTTACTGTTACCTGGTTTGTCGTTACCGCTTTTACTTTGCTTGATTATGTGCTCCAAGTTCATTACGCGGCGATATAAAAACAGTTGTTCCGTTTCAATTTTCGACGTTTACATTAAGTATAATGTTATCCTGAAAGTCCCGTTTCCTCTACCTCCATTAGCGTATGGATGATTAACGTCTAAGTGTTGTTGCGATAAACGTCCGATCTATTCGAATTCCTATTCGTTGCATCGCATTGAAAAAATTATCGTTAAAAGTATATTTTAATGATGGCCTTGAGTTGACTAGTAGGAATTAAGATAACGCCCTATTCATTTTGCGCGAGATTTCAAACTAAGCGAAAAGACGAGTGGAAGAGAAAGTCTATTGGGCTGCCAAACGATATGCATAAATACTCATATATATATATGTTTCCATCCCTTAGAAAATGGACCCACTTCTTAGCCAATGATATGCTGTTGTCCTTCAGGTCATTTCCGGTTGTGTTCAAGTGAACTTATTTGGCTACTTCTGATAGACTTACTATAATAAGTCACCCTAAGTCGTCAGTCTGTCGTATCCTTACTGGATCCTCATTCGTACGTAAATAGGATTTGCTGTAGGTCAACCGAAAAACCAATAATTTAATCGTTCTTATGAAGATTTAACTTGTATATCTGTTATCTATATTTTGAACCGTTCAGACCGAAATAAAACGAATGTCTGTCAAATAATTATTTAGACTACAGAGTTGTTCAGCTCTACATCAAATAAACACTTGGTGACATCACCAACACAGAAAGTAGTTCTTATAGAACCATGTAATCTAAAGTTTTTATCAAATACCTGGCAGTATAGTACTACCATTCAATTCTAGGCTCGATATCTTGTAGTAATGTACTTATAGTCTTATTGCTTAACTTAGCGATTTCTAACTATTATTATTTTACGAATTTTTAATCAACAAATGTGTTAGATTACAACTAGAATGCTCTTCGATATTTTCTTAAAGTATTTATTTGTGATTTTATCACTTATTTTGTATAAACATCAGGGATATTAATCGTCGATTTTAGAATAACTATGTAATGCAATTGAGTTTGTCAAGCGCAGGTTCATTTACTACTCTTTGGGACACTGCTCGTGTATAACGGCTAGTGATACCATCCGAACCTAAATAAGTGGGACAGGGTTCAATCCCGGGACTTAATGTGATCAGAAATGAAGTGCTTAAATCACTAATCTAAAGTGATAAAAAGTCACTGTGGCAATAATTGCTAACAATAGTAATAACGGTAATAATGTCTTAGATTAAAGAGATATTAACACAGTAAATTTCATTTGTAAATATTACTATAGTTTTCAAAACACTTCTCAAGAAACATGCCTACTTTCTTTTTTAGCCAACAACTTTTAAGTCTCCTAGCTCAATTAGCTCGAAGAAATCAAAATTCTAGATACTATAGCGCAGGGTTACGCTATATGAATCGTCTTTTTATGAATGCTCCGAAAACTAAGCCTACAACAACCACAGAATTAAATAATACAGTTTATGACTCAAAAATTGGACCTTCAGAATCTTCTAACTGTAATTCAGAAAAAAAGAAATCTAATAAGAAAAGCAAAGGTGCACAACATAACTCACCAATTTCTGATGATTCCAGTAGTATCAACATCGATAATCATCTGTCCACTGAAACTTTGTCAGAGCTACAAACGATTTTTCGCATAAAAAGTGGATTTAGCCTTCTGGGTAAAGAAGTTGATGTAAGTTTCATTTGTACCTGGAATTTTATGAATAGTAAAGTTTTTTACACCCACACACATTATTTATCAACCAACCACAGTTATACAACACTATATAATTATCTAAGTTTGCGCCATTGTTATCCATTTCAAACTGTATTATTGAATATTCCAGTCTAACACTGTAGTATTTTAAGAATTTCGATGTATAAATCTCCGGTTTAAATCATAAATACACGAAGAGTAATGTCATTTTTAGTCAGGTTATGCTAAATACTGCTTTGATCACAAGTTTATAATTTAGCATCATATTTGGATTTGGTTCCCTTATTGTTCACCCAATTTATGTAATGTATCACTTACGTACTCGGCTTTAAGATACACTGTTTGAGTACTAGTGATACTGCCCCCGATTGCTTCCGTAAACCGAAGTAGATGAAGCACGGTTCAAACTTGCAACCATTGGTGTTAAAAATCAATTCCTATGGTATAATCAATATAGGACAAAAAGTAAATATAGTATTGATGTTTGGTAGTGAAAGTGAAATGTGATTTTCCCTACAAGTTCTGCAACGTCGATAACAATTCAAGTATACAAAACTCCTATTAGCATCTTATTAAAACTACACTGTGATAGTAGACGTTTCAAGGCCTCTTATATCTGACGTATGTACTTAGTGTTACTTTAAGCGATATAAAGTAATAGCTACTGGTTGCGTGGGAGCGAGTCAATGAAACCAAATTTAGGAGCAGCTAAAAAGAAAACCTAACATCAGTCAACAAGATGTTTAACTGTTCTACTGATCCATTTTGATGGATGAAGACAACTTTGTTGAGAATTGCATGATAACCGTGACCAGTGGTTGAAGATATTGAGTGATGACGTGTTTTAGAGTCTTTTTCTCGATCTTCATTTCCTGTATTTCTTCATGCATACCTTTCCATACCTTTTAATTTCATCTCGTTCTATTATGGTATAGTGTCTTTGGTCTACACTCATCTGTCAAAGCATGTTGATGATTGAGTGACTGCCTTATTAGCTCATTGGCAACGCTTCACTGAGAAGCAGTATGACTCATGCCTGAATCTCACATTCAGCATTAGTTCCTTCAAGATTGCAAGCACCCCTTGCTGACGTGTGTCAATCATGTTTGTTATATGAACAAACAACATTCTGTACACATTAACCCTAGTATATATTATTAGGACAATTTGAAAGAGAATGAACAATGACACTGTTTTCGTGTGTTTAGGTTATATATGTAGAGTTAAATACTATGCATCAGTTCATGAAATCATTGATAATTGGACTGAGCTGCCTATGTAAGTTCACAATCTACCTGGTTAGGGTCAACACGACTTTTATAACCAATGGTTAAAGACTTTCTGTAACACCGTTCAAAATCGTTCGCGATGGAACAGGTGCACTCCCATTCTTTGCTTATGTCCTAACTTTCTATACAATCGTAATTTTCTAAAAAGAATTCCGTCAACCCATTTTTTCTCTTTAAATCATTTTCTATACTTAACTTCCACTACTACTGATTATATTATATTATATATTATATAAATTGAATTGATGTACATATGTGTATTTAACTGACTAACTGATTGACTTCAAACATCCAAGTAACAATCTCCTTTGAAAAAAGGTTTAATTTTATTACTGAATATTTCAGGCAATCTATCAAATTTTCAATCCAGATAATATTTATGAAAAAGAGATGTTAATGCAACAATCAAATGTCAATACATCTAATCAAAATAATGACATAACTGAAAGTGGAAGAGAAGATAATGGTGTAAATGAAACCAATTCTTACTCACTACTTGATGAATCTGAGAGAATGCTTGCTTTACTTAATCTAGCAGATCATTTAACAACAAATTGTGCAGAAAATCAACGATTACTCATTGAACATCAACCGAATTTAATTAAAATTACATTTGCTTGTATTAATTTATCACCTGAGTTTGTTCAACGTATAACACTTCATTCAACAATAACACCGTCATCATTGTCATCGAAAAATATCAAGTTTGTTAATGTTTTATTTAATTTAAGGGTTTGATTAACATTTTGAATTTATCATTCGATTTTACCAACTGACGTAGGTGAGATGTTGGTCCGCCAACCAAAAGATGGGTTTACTGCATAGCAGTTTTGTCCTTCCTACTTTATGGGTGTAAAATATGGCCATTAAAAATGGAGGATATTCGTATATTACTAGTATTCAATCATATGTATCTTCAAGGTATTGCTCATATGCTTTAAGGCTGCGAAGTAGTGCCTGGGTTAGAAATCGGGTACTTCGTAAGGATGGAAAATCATTGATGAAGTTGTTACTTTTCATCAACTGAGGTGGTTGGGATGTGCTTTACGTATTCCCAACCACCGCCTAACTCGACAGACGATGTTTTTTAATGCGGGAACAGGGTGGAAGAAAATTAGGTGCAGCTAAACCAAAACATGGCATCGGTCCATGAAGTCACAAACAATTGGACTTAGCCATGTTGTTGTAGGTGCAGACTACGTGATTAGGGTCCGCGTTATTATCGTAACTAGTGGTTAGAGATTTTAAATGACACGACTCAAAATGGTTTGCCATGGCACACGTGCTTATATTTTTTGTCTTCCTCCAAACTCTAGGCTTCTGAATTCCTCATGGCTTTTATATTAATTTAAAGTTTACATTTCAAATTCTGTCTTTCATCCCTAATATTTTATATTACAACGGATACTGTTACTACCTCTACTATTCTGGGATTTGTCCTGACAATCTGACCTCTCTGTGCTAATGGGGCATAGTAACATGAACCGATGTACGTACGTACTAGGTTCTACGTTGCGACTGGCTGTCATATTTATGTACGATTACGACATTTTTCTAGTTCAGTGCTATGTGTTTTAAACTGTAATGATAGCTTGGAGACTCCAAAACATCATACGGGATTCTTATACTGAGCTACAGGTATCGTCCACCATATCGAAATTGTCCTACTCTGTCAACCAATAAAAAAGGATAAATAAATTCATGATCAGAGGTTAAAGCAGTCACAAGCAAATAGAGAAACAACAACTTCACAGTTATAGACAACAACCAACTAAATTCTTTTTCAGCACAACAATCTGCTAGTCAATTGTAGAAAGAATTTTATTGTTCCCTTTTTATTCAAGTATTTTTTGGTGTCACAAATAAACGAATCAAGAACATAACATCTTCAAAATATATTTATTTACACATACAATAAAACGTTTTATATCAGAAAATATCCTCAATATGTGTGCGAAATAAGACAATAAACCTTTCATCCACTTGTACTCAGTCACTATCACCAGGTCTAGTCTTTTCAGCAAGTTTGAACACCGCTTGTTTTTTCGCACTATTGATTTCAGTCTTGCACACTTATTTTGAATAGCGAGAATATATTACTTAAATGCTATTAAGTAGACAAGTTTTCATAACTAGAAAATGTAGCCACACCATATCAGCATCGTATTTATCATACAAATCAACACTCATGACTCTTAAAGCAATTGGTCCTTTTAATAGATTTGGATAATGCAATAAAAAGATGAAGGTTATCTAGTTGACCTTTAAAAATTACATATAAATGTTCTTAGCGAATATATTATGTTCAAAAATGAAGGATATTTGAGCGAACAATTGTTTTCAATAACTTCATCATCAGGCTCTACAGTTATAAGTCCATAATTGTAATATTTTACAAAGGCCAAAAATAAGGCATGTATTAATGAACTTGACAATGTTATGTGTTGAAAATGGTTAACGTTTGCATCTGTTACGGTATATATACTTCAAAATTGTATTATTTGCAAATTAGAAAGGTCATTCAATAAAGGTCAGAATGATTTAGAGTAAAGTGTTCAGTCACAATAAGTAGAATAGTATTGTAGCAAAACTGAAAGTGCAAAAAAATTGTGTGAATAAAATGCATGGTAGGAGAAGTAAATCTTGTCAATTGAGATAATAATAATAATAATAGTAATAATATTGTTGTGTGAATATAATAAGTAATAAGTGGGTAGTTACTAAGATAATTACGATAAAGGGATATTTTAACACATGAACTCAAAAGATCTGTCGAAAGGACGTTTCACGCCGCCAAGCTACACATAATTTTCTTAACTAAACCAGTACTCATACAACTAATCAAGGATAGGTTACCGAAGATGGACTCCTCCATGTGTATATATCAATTTAACTGCTCCTGTAGAGCTAGTTACATAGGCCGTACTCAGAGGGCTTTATCTTTGCGTGTTCGTGAACATGTACCAGCATGGTTGGCAAAAGGAGTTACTAAATCGATCAACAACACTATTCTTTCACACTTGGTAGATAGTGAATATCATATCAAAATAGAGGAAGCTTTCTCTGTTTTATATCAAGTTCCGAAATATCTACTTCAAGGAGCTAGATTACGACTGCTCTACATATCCGAAGCCATCTGGATCAACTTCAGAAAACCAAACTTATGTGTCCAGAAAAAGTATATCCAGCCTCCATGTTTACCTTGGCCTACGACTGGATCACCGGATACCTAAAATGAATATTATAAACATCTTACCCCCTCTTTTTTATTACTTCTATCTTCACATTCATCATTCCCAATTCGTTTATCGTAATTACCTTGGTAACACCCCATATTATATTCACACAACAATATTATTACTATTATTATTATTATTATCTCAATTGACAAGATTTACTTCTCCTACCATGCATTTTATTCACACAATTTTTTTGCACTTTCAGTTTTGCTACAATACTATTCTACTTATTGTGACTGAACACTTTACTCTAAATCATTCTGACCTTTATTGAATGACCTTTCTAATTTGCAAATAATACAATTTTGAAGTATATATACCGTAACAGATGCAAATGTTAACCATTTTCAACACATAACATTGTCAAATATATTATGTGTGATCAAGTTGTTCGAAGTGTATTGCGCTAATATGTCACAAATTCTGATCATCTTCGTATTTTCGAAACTCATTATTTTGTTTATTATCATTAATACTTGTTGAATTCCATATCAAGACAAATTGCCCTCATTATTTTTAACTTTGATAACATACTTCTTTCTCCAAACTATATTTTCGACATTTTTATTTTGAACTTATTTTTGACATATAATTCGTTTGTTAATAATGATTTCTATTTGTGACCTTTTGGTAAATTGAATCCATGAGATTAAGGCTGTTTTAGTCATAATCAAAGTTCTAACAAACATTTAACCAATCACTTTTTTTATACGTTGACTAATTCAATTCCACAGTACTGTGGGAATTAACATAGCCTTTTATTGTAAACATTTTGTAACTCGATATACTAAATAACCGATATTTAATTTTTCTTCTCAATTGACAGCTTAACTATAGAAAAACAACGAAGCCAACATATTCTTGGTGCACTTAGACTAGCTGCTTGTAATTTGTTGGTTAATTTGACTTCATTACCAAGTGGTCGACAATCTTTATTAGATATGTATGGACCTGGTCCTATTCTGACAAGTTTAGCAAGTTGTTTATCCACTTCAATGTCCAATTCCTATCAAGTGACTTCTCCAACCTTAACACCAACAAACACTTCAAGTTTAGCTGATGCAGCACGTGGATTAATTGGCCGTTTATCATCATCATCTGGATTAGCTAGTAAAACAAATAGTAATAATATAGACACGGCTAAATCCAATTTAATTTCATCGACAATAGCTTCAGTTTGTGCTACAAAAGCTGCACAAATATTGGAGTATTTAACAGAAAGTTCAAGATTCCTTGTAAGTGTAAATAAGTATATATATATATATATATATATATATATATATCTGTATCAATCGTCACTTTCTGAAACTTATACATTCTTAATAAGTAGTTAATTATTAAATTCAAAGATAAATCATAATTAGACCTCCATGTGTGGTATATTTATTTTATTTCATTATTAGTTTTAAAAGAAATAATTTTTTGGTTGGATTTATGAGTCAATTGAAGCTAGACCACCACGGAAATCCTAGAAGCACTGGACGGCCGTTTTGTCCTATTGTGGGACTCCTCAGCAGCGTGCAACCACGACCCCACCTCGTGAGATTCGAACATAGGACCTATCGGTTTCGTGCGTGAACACCTAACCTCTTGAACACTGAGCCGGCCGGCATCCAACGGTGTAAATATCAATGTTAATGAATACCGACTCAGTGGTCTAGAGGTTAAGCGTTCGCGCGCGAAACCAATAGGTCCTGTGGTTCGAATCTCGCGAGCGGGATCGTGGATGTGCCCTTCTGAGGTGTCCCATACTAGGGAGAAACGGCCATCCAGTGCTTCCAGGCTTTCCATGGTGATCTGGCTTCAATTGACTCATGATTTCAACTATTGAAACTACTATAATATCCACAAAAACCCCTTCTGAAAATAATTTTGTTCTTTTTACCCTTAGTTTTAAATGGGATTTCAGTAAAAATTGTGATTTTCCATCCAAACTTATACTTAGTTTAAAGCATATATGTATGATTTAAAAAAAACATAATAATCGTGGTATTCTGTAATTATTTGACTAGAAGTTGTAATCATCTGTTCGAATTTACTCTATGTAGTTTACCCAATCTCAGATTACTATTTGTAACTTCCAACCATTAGATGTAATCCACAATACTGGAACGTAAGAAGTACTTTTTATTCTTAGTAATTACTTCATTAGCTTTCGTCTTCATGAAAAAATTATCAATGTGTTGAGTCACTCAGCCTAGTGATCATACTTCAAATTGATGGATGAAATTTGATCATCGTTAAGAGTTTAGACAAATATGACATTGATCACTACTCAGTAGTCAACCAATTGTAAATTTTCCAATCTTGTAGGAGGTTATTCGTAGCTCGATTAGTTCAGTAGTGACATCTCAAACTGTGAAGCTGAGTAGTGGAGGTTCGAATCCTATATGGAGCATCATTCCCCTTAAGATTGTAGGCACGCTTTGCTGTCAAGTATCAACTAACGTAAAATCTCGTTCGAATATATTTTCCTGTGAACTACCTTCAACCAGTTAAAGTCTTAATGTTACTAATGTGGCATTCCAGTTAGCTGTCAATCACACATTGATTGGACTGCATTATATTTATTGGCGATGCGTATTTTATTTTCGAAATTATCATTGCTTATCAATACATATTGTAGCATATGATTGGTGCTAAAAAAAACTAGCGCGCTTTTAATGTTATATAAGTTCAGATTCTAGCTACTTGGGGATATGTACGGAAATTTCCGTAGTCCAAAGGTTCTGGAATCAATTTAAATAGAAAGACATAGTTTCCTATTTCTAGTCTATTTCTAAAACAAATTACTTTCCCTTATAGCAAATTTGGGAAATTCGTGACTCTTAGTTCAGCGTACAGCTGTCATTCAAAGTACCCAATTTCCAGCTAACGAGAATGTCTCAACTTTAAACACAGTTCCATTTAATTCGGCTGTGACAGACAGTTGAAAACACTACCCTCTACACAAATGATGTGCCTCAATACGAAGTACGTAGATTTGTACTTAGCGAATAGGTTATTCCTTTAATGCACAGTAAATGAGATAAGGGTACAGATTAGAAGGTTATCTCTACTTTTCTTTCCCCGTTATTTTAAACACTTCCTTTATCTTTATAAATTAGTCGTGTTCATGTGAAAAGACCAACTCTGGAGGTTAATGTTTTAAAATATCTTAAATATCCAGTTAGAATGTTTTCCAGTTTTTCTAAACCATAACACGAAATCGTTTCTGACTGGTTCGTTGTATGATGCCGAGTGCTGTTAAGAGTGTAAGGGGGAACCTGAGGAATAACTGCTCGAAAGCAGGCCATGCGTGATCTTTTGTGAGTACTTTTTGATGTGTTACCTCCATGTTTTTCAGATCTCACCGATGGCGACTAAAGTTCGTGAGGAAAGATGAGATGTACTGTTTTGTAAGGCCGAATTTTCCTTACCTCTCTTCATTCGTTGTGATTAGGCAGCATCACTTCATACTCTTTTCGTCTGAAGGAGACACTTTACTGTTGTCATACCTCAATATATTAAACACCATGACTTTGTCTTCGGACCTTAGGTTTGCCGCTTTTATTCTCTGAAAAGCTTCCATATCGTGGTAGAACGTGAAGGCATGTGTTACGGCCAATATAACTAGATTTGGTCATCACAATCTACAAACCCGATCATCATGTCAATATAGCAAGCTGCTATAGTTGTTAATCCTTCCTATATTTTTTCCATTCATAATTCTTGAACTATATTCTAAACGTTTAGCCTTCCTAATTATCATTACCTAATGCATTATTTTGACTCGTTTACTATTCATCGTGTTAATATCATTACCTTGTGTTTATATGGTTATGATATGATAACTAGAGCTAACTTATGTTTATGCCAGGTTCTAGGTTACTTATAACCGACTGGCTAGTTTATGAAAACTACAATAAATGCTTACATGTCAATAAAAAGAATTAATTTATTTTAAAGATGACTTGAACTTTAATTAAAATATAACCCTTTCATCTTAGTCACTTGTAATAATCCGCCTAATATATCAGTGGTCAATAAATACACATTATGAAACGTTTTCTAAAGAATAAATAAAGGTTATTTGAACTGTTTATTATTATTATTACTCTTTCCGTCTACTCCACTATGCACTTATTATCGACTAACATTAGATTATGACGGATGACCTAAGCAGTAAATTTGGAATGTTAACTTTATTACTATTATTATTACTACTACTACTTAATCTTGTCTATTCTTATCATAACGTCTACTTTCTCACCTTTCTTTAAGCTTGCTTCATCATCAATAATACGAAATGTAATCAGTGAAAAATTTGTTGATTATTTCTTTTTCAATGTTAGTCTTATCAGTAAACATATATATGTAATCAGGTCGTATTGTATGGATTGTCTAGTAAATTTGCTGAAAGCTCCATTTTATTTTTGGACAGTAATTTATTGATCCTGTTGTAAGCATAAAATAGCTTGACCGAAACATTGAACTTTCTTATAGACAACTATTGGTTGTTAGGTTTTATTTTGTTTAAACTTTCTAAGTAATCAACTACTCATATTGTACCACTGACGACTAAAGTCGATGGGGATAGGTGAGGTGTACCGTTTTCTAAGGCCGAATTTTCCTAACCTCTCTTCACTCGTTGCGATTAAGCAGCATCACTTCAGATTCTTTTCGTCTGAAAGAAACACTTTACTGTTGTCATACCTCAATATATTTAACACCATGACTTTGTCTTCGAACCTTAGGTATGCCGCTTTTATTCTCTGAAAAGCTTCCATAGCGTGGTAGAACGTGAAGACATGTGTTACGGCCAATATAACTAGATTTGGTCATCACAATCTACAAACCCGATCATTATTCTTTTCAATATGTTACATTATTTGCAAATATTGTGACTTATTTGAAATATATTGTGACCATGTGTTTTTGGTGATATAAACTACCTAATGTTCAGATATATTAGGTGGTTGAAGGTAGTTTACAGGAAACCCATGATATCGGGTCGCTGTAGACTAATAATCATATTGCAGTCTGGTCGATGGAATATGACCAACACTGAAGAATTAGACAAATATCACATAGATTATTACCCCGGTTACCAATGAATTGTAGATATTCGAATATACTATAACTAATCTCTTTATTATAACTAGTGGTGTCTTATCATCTATATTACTATCCATTGAATCAATTGGATTTGATATAGCGTCATTCATTTTTAGTGTAAAATCACTGAATTCACTTTTAAATTGTCCACAAGTAGGCCGATACATATATATGTACCAGACTATGTATTACATGTGATTGACTAACAACTAACTGAAAATTGGTATTTACTACCGTATACACTCTGTCTAAATCTTGTTGTTCACATCAGTACTGAGAGACATAGGTCCATCCAAGCACACACAGTTAAATTAAAACTGAATTGTATGTTTCTCACAAACCAAACATACATATTGGTAAAATGTCCATATTTGTATTTCACAAATCACTGGATATAAATATATGACCTTTTTGTAAGTAATAAATTACTGTTTATTGATAAGATTTTATATTTTGGGTCAATCACTTCGTGTGAATAAGTCTATATTTTGGTGTAATAAAGAATACTGATTGACTATATGTATGAATAACATAGCTATACTCTAATATTTGATATTTACGTTTTTATTAATTCTTGTCAATCAGTCAGTTGCAACACAAAATCTGGTACGTATGTACATCGGTTTAAACTACCATACCTTATTAGCACAGCGAAATAAAATTGTTAGAACAAATCCGAGAATAGTAGACATAGTAAAAGTATGAAGAGTAATAAAAAGATATGACACCAAAGATTTTTGTTACCTGGGCCTATGAAAATCAACTTTATACTATTCAAGTAGATAGATGAAATGTTTCTTTAATATTTTCTATCATATTAGAATAAGAGATCGGTTGGTGAACAGTAGTTATTTGTTAGTTGGTTATTAATCATATTAACTCAGCTATGTAATTAACTAAAATGTACTGAATAATGCGAAATAACTGGTAAATAAATTAGGATAATATATTTCCAGTAACTCTTTAAGTATTTATGAAAAAGATTAGGAATACCCTTTGTTAATTAGCTACTGAAAATATAAGTTTTGAAGTGCCACCCTCAAATTCAATGCGAAATGTCAAAATAAGCTAAGGTGAAAAATTATATTCGTAAAAATTTCAGCGATTAAGCCACCGTTTCGCTTGACAATCGCAATTTCCCATAAATGTCCAAATAACTGATTTAGAAAATCTGTCTAATTGATCTGTGCACTGTCGTCTTCATTATCACACTATCTCTTACTTCATTTCAGTTATCTTCCCTACAAGTTCTGCAACGTCGATAACAATTCAAGTATACAAAACTCCTATTAGTATTTTATTAAATCTACACTGTGATAGTAGGCGTTTCAAGGCCTCTTATTTCTGACGTGTGTACTTAGTGTTACTTTAAGCGATTTCCAATCCTCAGGATTGCAGATATCCCTTGCTATCAATTGTTTCTTGTTACTAACAATACTTATTCAAATAAACTTATTCCTGTTTTTCTAAAAAATGATACTAATCATTATTTAATAATAACTAGTTAGTATGTTGTTGTCATTTAGAAACTGTTTATTGTATAGTAGTTTATGTAATAGCAATATTCTTTTAGAACCTAATTGAATTAAAATAATCCAACTGCACACTATACTTTATGCTGTATATGTAGGTGATCACAAATAGTTGAATGTTTTTCCTGGGACATAGTTTTATGAACTCGGATTGTTGGCATAAGTGGCAATGTTGAAGTGAAAGAAAATAAAGGGTAATAATAGAAGTAGAAGTAATATTTGTTGATGAAGATGAAATTTGATAATGAAGATTTAATCTCGTGTCCTTCTAGCGGAATGGGAGCAGTATTTGCTTCTGAGTTACCCATACTGGTGAAGGATGTCGTGGTGGACTTGAAAAAGAAACTGGTTTAGCGATGATCATAGAGACCTAGGAGCGCGACCACAGAAATCAAGGAACAACTATCTATCTATATTTTCCTTTTAGTTAATAAGTTATAATCATTGTAGAACCCGATACAAATGTGCATTAGCACTAGTTTTCATACCACATAACCTCGGAAAGATTAAATCAACAATATGAATATCAGAGGTATCGAAATAACGTATTAGCAACGATAATATAGAAAGACCAAGTATTGAGAATATTGTTTGAAAAGTCGGAGTAGAAAGGTACTTATTGTGGAATACTGGAATTCATAATCTAGAGTAAAATAAAGATTAGTGAATGCATTTAGACCATTGTAACTGATTCTAAGCTATTTTACTTATCGTCTCTTGTTTAAATAAATATTTCAATATTTCTTGGAGAAATGAATGAGTGTTAAGCATAGTCAACGAGTTGTATTGGATTATTATTACTTCATACCACACCTATTATCCAAAATGAATCATTATACGATGAACAGTTGTAAAAATTAAAGTTGAAGAATTTATCAATTATCAAGCATACTTTTTAAAACCCTTACCTAAATCTACGTATTTGGTTATTTTGTAAACAATCACTTAATTTTTCAAGTGCGTTATCCGACTTTTTCTGTGTGTAATTCACTACGTTTAATACTAATAGTTTTTCCTAAACAAATATGTGTATCCTTTACTTCATAGATACTTGCTCGATCTTCTAGTGAAGGTTTACAAGGTCTTTTGTCAATCATTGAGTCTGCTTTAACTTCTTCATCTCCAACTACTAATACCAATCAACCATCATCGACAACATGCCAGTGTCTAGCTACTTTGTTAGACAGTTTAGGCAATGCTTGCCAAGATCGTACTTTTCAAAAAACTATTCTACAAAGTCGTAAAGCTTTATTATTCGGATTATCTAATTGTCTTTCATATCATGTCCCACTGCTGAGTGATGCTAGGTTTGTTCGATTATTTCAACTTGTATTATAATTTATTACCATATTTTCATTAATCTCATTTACGAAAGTGTATTTCATCACTTTTTGAGAGCCACTAACGACTGAGCCATATTTGATGATAAAGTGGAAGATAGTGGAGCCTCCGTTTATGACAGTGATGAATGATTGATTTTTTTGCCATTAATTGTTTGAAAGGCTACGAATGTCTTATTTATTATCACTTCCAAAGATTGGTGGCTCGATCTTGCACTTATGAATATTTGTCAATTGAATATGAAGTGGTCTTCGTTTGCTTCGCGAAGTTTACTCCATTAATACCAATTTGGTTATAAACCTACCTTATTGCCACAAGTACTGTTAAAATCTATGACATGGTAGTGAAGTTATGTCAAATAAATGATGCTAACTGTATAGTTTTTCTCAACTAAATATATTTTCTGTAATTATTGCCTTGCGTACGTTTTAGTAAAACACAAAAGTAATAATTGTCGTGGAATAGTACAAATTCACTTGGCCCACGAGCTGTCATCATCTGTGTAACAATTGAAGTAGTTCGAACTCTATACTAGTTTTTTTAAAGACAATCAGAACAACTTACCATTGGTGAATACCAATTCACAATTCTGCATAAAAGAATATATTGAAGTAAATGAAAACTGGGTTCTTATTTGCATCTCCAAACAAAAACGACAGAAACCGTAATCTAACACTTATCATCTCTTTAACAGTGGAATCACTCTTATCTACTTACTTGTTAGCAAGTATTGGTAACGTGAGTTTCAAACACCTAGTTACATAACTTTTCATCTCGAACTTCTCATTAAAACGCATATTAAAATCTCTTTCGTTATCCGATTATATTAATTCACTTAGTCAATAATTACCTACTTTATGTCATCTGACATTCATTTACCACTCTTTAAAAAAAATCTCTGTCCTCATTTGTCTGTTAGTTTCATTTCTTCCCTTCAACTTCCGAAGACTATTCACTGTATAGATTCTACGAAATATATAACTAACTTCGTAAAAATACAATTCTTACTAACCTCTACTTTACAGTCTCAATCTGAGTGTTATCTTCGACCATGCTAATCATTTTCTTTATTCATTAATTCAATATACATTTAGTACAGCTGATAAGAGAATACATAAACATGTGTTAAAGTTGCTACTATTGAAATAACATTTTAACTAGTGACTATCTAGATTCAATAGTTGACTTAATAACACCTAAGACCTTTAAAGCGAAAGGTATTGAGTTCAAGTCCTAATATAAACATTAATACTGGAATAAAGGTAAATATCAAACTGAAGAGTCCTAAATAGGATAAAAAGTGTAACTTATACTCCACAGTCAGTCAGCTACAACGTAGGACCAGACACATATATGCATCGGTCCAAGTTGCCATACCTCATTAACACAACATGATGGACACCGGATTCATAAAGGTAGTTAATTCAGAGGTGGTAATATATAAAAGAAAGATTGCATATAAGGATATAGTACAGGAAGAAAGAATTAGTTCATGGAAAGAAAGATATGAAGCGATTTTAATCTCATAGTTTAAGGGAAGACAGAGAGTGTATACACCTACGCCATTGTGATCCATTCTGAACCATGTCACCAACAGTCTCCAACCATACTTATACTCCACTGCTAGCTATAATTCATATGTTCAATTGAATTTTCGAAATAGAAATAATGAAAATAGAATATCAGCAGAATTAATTGTTGCACACATACACACACACACCTACATACAAAAGAAAAGACAAACAAAATTGAAATAATTAACCAGAAATCATTGACTTTATATCCTACGAATAAAACTATGTTGTATATTAGTAGTAGTGTTTAGTTCTATTTAACAAATATGAATGAATCAATAAATCAATTAATGATCTATATCTTCTAAGATCGATAAATAACTTCCTAGATCATACGATATGCATCAAAACTATATTATAATGATTGATGAAATAGAGTGTAAGAGAGAGAAACGGATCAGATAAATTGTTTAATTCATTTTAACATAATTTAGATCATTCATCTCATTCTTATACTAGAATAGATTTTCATATAGTTATCCCAGTCAAATTTAATATTTTCATTGAATTCCTGTTAATTGTTCAAGTAAAAATACTTGTATTTCATCAATTCACCTCTGTAATCATTTAATTTGTGCATTAATATATCTATCTTTTATTTTCAATCAAGTCATGCTTGCTTAATCGCTTCAATTTGTCGATTATTACATAATATTTATGTGGGACAATTGGATCAGCCAATGGTGACTAATAACAATAGCTTCAGTTTGTTAGATACTCCAAATAATGATTGTTCAACATCTTGTTTAACATCAAGCAAATTAGTTAATTCTTTACTGAATGGTATTGGTGCTATTTTAGATCAAATTGGTCATGGACCAGAATTGAGAGCTGTAGTTGTTGCTTTAGCCGGAAGATTATTACCTCTATGTCATGATACTAATCAAGTAAGTAATGTTAACATTAACTAAGTGATCAAGTTTGGTGAATGTGAATTTTTTTGGCAGTTTTCCTTTTTCCGGATAGTAAGTTGCAAACAATGTAAGAGATTTCCAAGATTGTGTACTAATCGAACTGTAGTCACATTTTGTATGAGTCAATAGGACAGAGGGAAATCAACAAATCAAGCAAAGTAAGTATGATCAATGATCATGTCAAATTAAGCATAAGAAATTATATTCTCTGAAGAAGTAGCTTACAGTGAGTCACAAAATGTCAAAAAATTTAATTTTTCTACTCATTGGGATATTACAAAATATGTTATTTTTTATTTATAAGTAATTTAGTTCAAAAAGGAATTAATAATATGAAAGAATGAAAATTCCTGGTTAGTATACGGTAAAAAGAATTTCAACTACGTGAAGGGAAGTCCTACTCACTGTCTTCTCGTGGCATTACTGTTGTTTACGAAAATGAGAGGACGAAAAGCGAAAGTCTGGCGCTTTAACCGGATTCCAAACCAATGGTGCACATGGGCTCCAGTATCCTGCGGGAAAAATGGCGTATGAACCAATCGTTGGTCAGCGGCTACCATGGGACTGCATCTCGTTACGATGCCCCACTGCCTTGTGGACCAGACCTTCAGGTCAAGGGCTCGGGGCGTGGCCTCCTAAGAAAACCACCTGCTTCGGTTTTGGCATCCGAGCAGTATCACAGCCCTCACACATATCGAATGAGATTTGTGTGGCGCATATGTATTTGGTGCCTCTTTGTACCAATATCTATGTGTTGAAATAAATAAACTATGTTTGTACCCTTGAATGATTTGAAGCCATGATAAAAGTAGAAAAATGTTTCTTTTCTCGAGTATGGCATACTTACTGTATCCTATATCAATTTAAACACCAGTAGAGTTCCATTACTATAAAAAACGTTTTCCACTCTGTCAAATGATAATATTAGTAGCGATGCACAAATTTATCTTTATTTAGCTTACATCTTGGTTTGGAGAGCCTACAACTGAGTCAATTAACGACTTAACACCACGAACTCGTCTACTTCTTGCAATTTTAGATAGCTGGTAAGTTTCAATTTCGGATGATGTTACTGTGATATCTTTTCCTAGCTTGTGATAGTAACAGAATATTGATAACTCACTAAAGTTGAAGTATTATTTTTTGTCAATAAGGGGTTGTGAAGTTTGTTGAATTTTATTGAAATCATGAATCTTCACAACCCCTTACTGACAATTATAATGTGATCACTAGTGACTAGCTTCGAGAGAAAATTTCCGGAATTCTAGTTAGTTGTGTCCAGTGAAGCTAAATCGTGTCGGGTGTGAGACAATTATCCAATAGATGGTCGGGAAATGTTATAGAATGATTGAATTTATATATTAATACTGTTGGATCCCGACTCAGTGGTTTAAAGGTTAAGCGTTCGCAATCAAGATTGAGGGTCATGGGTTCGATCCTTCGTGCGGGGTCGTTCGTCCGCACTTCTGAAGAACCCCACATACTAGGAGGAAACGGCCGTACAGTGCCTCCAGGTTTTCAATGGTGATCTAACATTGATCGGTTCATGATTTAAATGATACTATTTTTGTATTGAATGAGATGTGTAAACGCCAATTAGAAAGGAACTGGTGTATATCTTTCCCGTAGCTTGTGATAATGTGTATTTATAAAACTAGTAGTCGAAGAGATTGATTATTTTACTGATAAGAAATCCATTTACTTTCTGTGTTACATGGCTTATGAAGATATCTCAATCTGAGTAGCAAGAAAACAATCTTCTTTTACATAAACTTTATTTTGGCAAGATAAATTTGTGATTTAGTTGAAAGTATGTTGTGGCTTTAGTAATATCTTCACTATCTAGTTACATATCGATTAAATCTTGATGCATCTATTGAAATAACACCAAACTTGTTTTTTTTTATCAAATCATTTGGGGAATCAAGTTGATCATATCGTCATAATCCGATATAAGGTATTTATAAAGTAGCCTTAGTTTACATAGTTTAGTGAAATTGAACAATCGTTGTCGTAGTTACTGAGACCATTGACCAACCAGAATTTCAGACATTTAATTACATTGGATAAAAGAAGCCATGGACACGTAGATGAATAAGTGAATTAGACAATGTTAAATGCTAAAATAGTAAACTTTTTTACGTAGGTTATGAGTTTAATACGTTCAAAATATGTCATTTATAAATTTGAATTGTAATTTTAAGCAAAGAGATAAGAAAAATTCATTATGAAATATCTAGTTCCAATCAATAGAATACCATATATCTTGTAAACAAAATGCATATTAAAAGAAATGCTATATCGGATTCATTGAGTAACCAAATGCAAAAGTTCACTAATTTAATATTTTGTCTAATTTACGTGTTTATATATGCCTTATTTTGACTAATTATAATACGGAATATATCCATTGAGAGATAATGTAAGAAAGATTACTTTCAGTGAAGAGTTCTACCTTTTTCGTTGAATTCATTTTCAAAGCTGTACAATCACAAATATACATACTTATTTTTTCTGAAATGATATTACTTTCAATGATAGTAATATCTTTTTTCGCTAAACATGCTAATAGTGAGGTAAAATAACGTTATTTTTTTTATCAGGGTAACTAATAGTAGTTCTGTTGTTGAGGGCTTGAATATTCATCATGAAAGGCAAGGTTCAGTGTAATAAGATAAATTGCTGAAATTGAGATAAACTGCAATCAGAAAGATCACAAAAACAGAAACAAATCGCTTAGGAGTAAAAATTCTATAGAGAAGAAGATAGGAGGGAAGCAGATGACTGTGAGATAAGACAAAAATTACGAGAGATTTAAATCATGGTAGAAGAAGAGGTTGTACAAATTCCTTTTGAACACATAATTCTGGTATTTCCAGATGCATAGCAAATGTTTAACAATGCTAAGAAGATGCAAGATAACTGTTTTTGACAGCTCTCTACTTACCTTTGTATGCGTTTATTTAGCAAAAAAGGAATTTTATTATCTCTATTACTGTAATCATTATTATTTTGGAAAGTAAGTATATATTTGTGGTTGTACAGCTTTGAAAATGAATTCATCGTGATGAGAACTCTTAGGTGAACTAATCTTTCTTGATTTATTTGTAATACAGTAATTTTGAACTTTTCACTGTAGAGCATAACAACGAAAATATTTAAAACAATTTGTCATTTAAAAACATTTCATGGTCTATGAAAGTCATCTGACAATCTAATATTTACATAAGGATACTTCCTCTCTTATTTTTGTTGTCAAAATTTTATGTTATTCCCGCAAATTTATCATTCATAATATGTTTTTTTTCTCCCATATTTAATAGTTCATTAGATTCGTGTTCTAAACGTAATCCTGTCAATCCATCATCCGTAAATGGTGAACAACAACAATCAAATGGAAATATTTCACAGTCGAAAAATGAAACAAACAATATGACATCTCATTTAATTACTGGATGTATTCGTTGTTTAGCTTTGGGTACTAATCATTCAATTAGTTTACGTTATGCAATTGGTGATGATAGACGACGTGTTCGACGTTTAGCACGTTTTATTCGTGCACGATTATCGGAATACACAATTCAATCACCATTTATTTGTAAATTGAATGTTTCATCAAATCAACTACCACCTAGAGATGAACCATTGGCAGGAAATGTTTGTTTAGTTTTACAACATTGTGCTTCAGATACACCATTAGCTGAACATCTTCAAGGTACTTCAGTAATATATGATTTATTATCACTGATACAAGTAAGTCGAAAGAAATAATAATCATTACAGAGGTAATTTTTAAAAAAAGAGCAACCCATTATTGTTTTGATTACTGTAATACTTATATTATATATACATACTAGGTTTAGTATAATTTCATCAGGTGAATTAGTTACATGAGATTTTTTGTTTTCATTATTTCAATCCAATTTTATCACGACTATACAGTCAGTCAGCTACAACGTAGGACCAGGCACATATATGCATCGGTCCAAGTTGCCATACCTCATTAACACAACATGATGGACACCGGATTCATAAAGGTAGTTAATTCAGAGGTGGTAATATATAAAAGAAAGATTGCATATAAGGATATAGTACAGGAAGAAAGAATTAGTTCATGGAAAGAAAGATATGAAGCGATTTCCATTTCATAGTTTAAAGGAAAACTGAGCGTGTATACAACTACGCCTTTGTGATCAATTCTGAGCCATGTCACCAAGAGTCTCCAACCATTGATTACGATAGCCACGCGGACCCCAACCAAGTAGTCTGTATCTACCAACATGACTCAGACCAGAAGTTAGTGACTGCAAGCACTGATGCCACGTTTTGGTTTGACCACCCCTAACTTTCTTCCAACCATCCCGAACACCGGTTAGCATTGTACGTCGTGGTAATCGGTGTTCGGGCATACGTAACACGTGGCCCAACCACGACTATTGTTAGTGATTGATAGCTAGTAAAATTTCAAATAGAATAGATATACTTTATGCATTCGTTTTAATACTATTAACCGGTTTTCTTTTCTTTTTTTTGTTGATAATTCAACATTTTAGGAAAGTCAACGATTAGATACTAAAAGGAATGCAGCAATACTTATTGGTAAATTAGCTCAATCAAGTCAAGTACATCGAGATGAACTTTCACGTTTAGATGGTTATAGTGTATTAACGCCGTTTAATTCATGGACTGCAGCATTGGAACGTTGTTAAACATACATAAATATGGATATTATTTTAGGTGTCTTTCATTAAAGTTGATATTATTTCCAGTGATACATTTACTCTTGATCAACATTAATTATTAAACAAGTGTTCATATTAGAAAATTCCTGGAACTTGTTTAACTTACATTGTTTGTTTTTCTCTTCATTATTCTATTTTAAAAACAGAAACTTTTTTGTCTATCTAATTGTGTATAGTGTGTGTGTGTGATGTTAATGTTTAATATGAAGATTCGTCATCGGAAATGTGTGATAATTAATGTGCATGAAATAGTGGGAATTATGTCACAAACATTACAGACAATTGTTTTAATATATATACTAGTGAAATTTCCCGGCAATAGGAACCCGTGCTCTTTTTAAATAACAGAAGAGTTGAATTTTATAAGTGTCATTATTATTAATAACTTGAAAACATTTCCCGGAAATTATTCAACATTCTGAAAGACTTTGTTTTTGTTTTCAGGATTTCTTTTTATACAAAAGTTCACATTAGTTTTAATCTTCATCAAATCGTATATACATGATATTATTTTTACATTGAAAACCTAATTTTTCATAAAATCCAACTTTTTCATTACTACAATCAAGTGAAATTTTATAACATCCCATATGTTTTCCTATACGAACCAGGGTATCAACAAGTCTGGAAATAATAGATAAACAAGTTAATCACTGGGTTTTTATGTTTCTCAAATAATATAACAACAATTCATTAATGGTTATAGATACATCACTTCACATGTTTAGATAGTGTATATTTGTGTCGAAATATAAGAATGATTTTGAGTCTCTTAGACCAATGACCACATTTCAACCTGATCTGTGGAATTGAACTTGCATCAAAGCATTATACGAACACGACTCACTGGTCAATCAATTGTAAGTATTTCAGTTCTACAGGGAGTTGGAGCTTGAACAACCCAGTGGTAATGCCTTAGACCATGAAGTTGGGTGAAGTTGAGTGCACTTCTTTTTTTAATACCCGGTTGCTCAGTTCCGCTAGATTTTCAGGCAATATTAGTCAAATGATTGTTCCAGTTTATCCACAACAATGACACTGTTGAGTTTAGATATACCTGTTTTAACCATATTAAGAAGCCGTACTGTTAAATCCAGCCATTATTAAGCAAATGTCACCCCACATCATGCACCATTAACCGACCCTAGGGATGGCTGGAGGAAGCAGAGGTCATCAGTTTATGAGATGTTTCCAGGGCATGAAAAACGACTACAGGACTGATGCCTGTCTGACCCTCACAGCTCCCTGGTTAGGGTTCTAAAGATAGTGCAATACAGTAGCTTGAGATATCAGTTATGGTTCAGAATAGAAGCCAGTGGAAATCCTGCTTATTTTTATCCATTTATTGTTTCCAGTACTTTTTTATTATCCTCATCCTCCTTTGTCTCTTCACAACCTTATTTGTTGTGTGGAACATTTTTATTTTGGTGCCTCTTTGTGTCAATATATGTTTAAACAGAAATTATTACACCATAACTAGTTCGCATCGTGGCATTGGCCTAAGAATGATATCTTAAGACGTAGTCGAACTGATTTGTAATAATCGCAAGGTTTTCTTATTCTCTGACGCCATGAACTGCGTATACGTTCAACTACAGGAAACAGCGTGGAGAAAACAAGCCTTGAAATTTTTTAATGTCGACAACAATCCTCTTAATATGATTGATAAATTAAACTGTCACTTACTAGGCCTTGCAGACTACTCTCAAGTAAGTCTTACAATGAAGTACTAATTATAAGTTTCGTCTTACTTTCCCAGACGTTATTGTCTTTAACGTGAACGGTTGGAATGCACTGTTTTGTAGGCATTCTACAACGTACAAATCTTGTTGTCATACCAACAACTCCATCTTTTTAGTCTGAAACTGCTGTTTTTGAAATTTCGGCTTCAACTCTAATCATCCGTTGATTTGTACACGAATGCCAGAAAGAAACAACTGGGAACTCTCTTCATGCACTTTTAGACGTAATATAGAGGAAGTAACTAAGCATTTATCGCTGTATAACTGTTGTTTACGTTCTAATATCTGATATCGTTTTACCTCAACAGCAGTAACTTTTAACTTTACCAATACTTTAAAGCTCTGTAGCATAAAAAAGGTCCAAGCTGTTATTATATTACAATATCAGTGGGATAAACACAGTGTTGCATTTGGCCCGCTGCAGGATATTGTACACATCTGAAGAGATTACTAACTAGTTACCTACTCAACTGTACTTTTAGTTTCACGAGTCACTGGGTTTCGCTTCTCTCAACAAAATCTTACGAATCTGATGCACATATATTTAGTTTTCACACATTTAAATGCACTCTTTCACAAACTTTATTGAAATCGTGAAGGACGCTGCGGAGCATTTCCCTCTCCCTAAATGAAAAATGCTTTAGTATTTTTCTGTATTAATGTTTAAATTGGTTATAAGGAATGAATTTATTGAGGGCATTGACCGCATCACTTGTAAGTCTCATCAGCTCTTGTGGGTTGGTGGGCATGGATTTAGAGTTCACTTGATTCTTGCGAATGTCCCACAAATTTGCCATAAGACATGTCTTTCTACCATCAAAGGACGAGTACGTTGAACAGTAGTCCACCCTGTTTTACTTTACGTTTATGAAGTGCAACGTTCGAAAATAGAGAAAATTAGTAGGCCACTAGCATTTGACTGCAGATGTTTTTGAAGCAAGATAAGGTGGTACAGAGGATTGAGCAATGTTGAACTTGGACAAAAAGCAGTAGGTACAGATGAAACCGGTTAATGAGATTATGAGTTTCATCAACTGTGATTGTATAAAAATGTATTATGTTTGCTTAACTAGCGCCTAGCTCTTAATGCAGTGTTGGCCAGAAAATGGTTAGGTTGGAAAAAATCTGAAGGAGTCTAAACCAAGACATACATCAACCCGATTGATCATCGACTGTTGGTCTGAGTCACGCTGATAGACAGAGACTGCCTGGATGATAACCATGCGGCGTTTGCAACCAACTTTGAAAACATTAAGCCACATAACTTAAAATATATCACATTCGCATAGATGGGCCTACTACCCCCTTTATCTAAGTTTGAGTGAAATGTGATTTCACACTTTCAATTCCCTTATTTTACCTATGCTTTGCAGACTGTATTTTCTTCATTAAAATATACTGTTGTGGACACATTATTTCAACTCATCTGGTGTTCATCCTGTTAATCCCACTTTTTTACAGAATTGGGGTGATGCGTTGATCGGTGCAAATTTGCCCCAGGCTCTAAGTTGATGACGACTAACTGACTGAATCTTAATGAAATTCATCCCTTTTTGAATTCCTCAACATGTTTTAAAATATAAATATTTTGAGAATGTCTGCACTTTTAGTGGGTTTGTTTCACCTTTCTACTCCAGCGAAATATTTTAATGCAATTTAAAATTTCGAGTATTCATTTTGTATTGTCAGTAAGTATATTAAGATCAGATTGATATACAAGATATGTGACAGTGCTTGCAATTTATTACAGACAGAAAAAAACTGGTAGGAACGCTGAAACCCTCAAAAAGATACTTTCTAAATTGTGTGAGCAGTCTAAAACGGTTGGTAAATTTTGACTGAGCAGTCAGTCAGTAACAACGTAGAACTTCGTACGTACGTACATCAGTTCGAGTTGAGCAGAAAAATACAAAACAAGTTGGGTGGCTGTAATCCTTAGACTTATAAGCAATACAGGGGTCAATCACATTCGCTACATATTTATTCCCGTCGATTTTTATTAAACATTTAAATTAACAGTTTACTCAACTTATAATGGGATCTAATTGGTGCTATCAGAAATCAATTGTTAGAAAGTATGATTATGAGAAGGGTTAGAGAAAATCAGTATTATAATGTATAGAACGGAGGTTTTATCTACAGGCTTTAAAATTATGTGACGCTTAACGAGGAACCATTATATAGTGAAAATGTAACTTACAGTCTTCCAAAATTCATCCCGCGATATCTTGAATCGACTATAACATCCTCAATATGACCACGCTGAAAACATATCAAGTAAATTTACAGCTACCTTTGAACATTGGTGAATGAACTTTAACTCTATGAAGAGAGTTGCTGCTCCAATGATTCTACTTGTTGTAGCATCTTCTAAAACTACAATAAAATATGTATCCAAGCAAGAGGCCATCAAAGAAAATCTTTCTAATGAAGAATGTTAATTTCAATATTTATTACCATCAAATTCCCTCTGTTCTATCTTCCCAACTACGGTTAACTGTTTTAATAAAGCAAGATAATCTAGCAATCACTAGCAAAAATATGAAACTACCATAATCAGATGATAATAGAGGCCGTATTTTCGGAATCGTTTTAGGACTCTGACAGTTTATATGGACTACATGTTTCTTGATCAACTCAGAACAGTTGATATGTTCTAGTATTAAGGGGTCAAACAACGACAAAACAGCCATATCTCAAATAAGCGCTTGTCCGTTAAGCTGAGTCACCTTGATAAAATTAGACCTGACAAACAAAGTCTAGGTAAGTAACATGTGTTTCTGCGAAATGCGAACAGAATCAAATGAAAAATTTATCCGGCTTTTTAAAATCCTGGTAATCGTGTTTGAATTTTCTTCAAAACGATTTATTATGCATTTAAAATAACAGATAAATATCGTCAATTCAGTCTTCAGTCTTCAGTCTTCAGTAATAAGGATAGTAGGTTGATGAACCTGTGTTAATCCTGACACATTGCTTTCCAGTGAAGGTACAGCTTTTCCTTGAAAGTATTCACTGATGGGGCTGATACCACTTGTTCGGGTAAGGCGTTCCAATGATTGACTACTCGATGAGAGAAACGGGATCCCACTTTAAGTTTATTAGATCGTGGTTTATGAACCTTCTTGCTATGACCTCGGAGATTATTAGTGCTGGAGGGAGCAAAAAGATAAGACATATTAACACCCAAATCATAATTAAAGATACGAAATGCCAGTATAAGGTCACCTCGTGTCCTACGATACGACAAGGGGAAAAGATTTAGGCGCTTTAAGCGCTCATCGTAAGGAAGTCTAGAAAGACCCTTCACTAATTTCGTTCCCACACGCTGGACACGCTCAAGGGAGTTAGTATCCTTTACTAGACACGGGCTAGCTGCTTGGATACAGTACTCTAAATGTGGTCTAACATATATGGGATATAAAATTCGAAACGTTTCCTCGTCAAAAGATTTGAACGCTCGGCGAAGTGACCATAACGCACGAAAACCTTTGACAGCGGCTGCTTTGCAATGCCCAGTTGTTTTTAAGTCATGACTTAATATTACTCCTAAGTCCTTATGCTCATGAACGCATGGAAGAGGTTTACCCTCAATAGTGTAACGGTAACTATTACCGTGACCGACGTGCATTAGTACACTCTTCCTAGCATTGATTTCTAAGCCCCACTCTCGAGCCCATCTAACTAAATCGTCTAAGTCAGCTTGAAGATCCACATGATCAGCCGCACTTTTTATTGTTCTCCAGATTTTTACATCATCTGCAAACAATAATGTTGACGACCTAAGTAACAGTGGTAACTCATTAACGTAGAGAAGGAAGAGCAGAGGGCCTAAGATGGTGCCTTGGGGTACACCACTTTTGACCGGCTTCCAATCGGATAGCGTTCCATTGACCCTAACTCTCTGTCTGCGGTCACATAAGAAATTTCCTATCCACTCATGTACAGTACCTATTATTCCGAAGCTCGTGAGCTTCTGCATAAGACCTACGTGTGAAACCTTGTCAAACGCTTTGCTAAAATCTATGAATATCACGTCGACAGACAGACCGTGATCTAGGGTTGCTGTCCAATCCTCCCTCGCAATAAGCAAGTTAGTCAAGCAAGAACGCTTGTTACGAAATCCGTGTTGCTCAGGAGCTAACAGATTGTGTGAATCTATGTGGCTTAGCAACCTAACCCGAATTATCTTTTCGAGTAACTTAACGACTATGCTAGTTAGACTGACAGGCCGGTAGTTAGATACTATCTGTCGCTGACCGTCCTTAAATATAGGACTAACTATAGCGTCCTTCCAATCTCTAGGGAGTTGAGCGAGTGAGAGGGACATGTTGAAGAGTTTCGCAAGCGGTTTTGAAATAATGTCCGCAAGAGATGATAGCAACCGTGGATGTAACCCGTCAGGGCCCGGTATCTTACCAGGTTTGAGGTTAGTTATCAACGGAAGGACAGTTTCCTCAGTCACCTGTACAGATTCAATGGTTGGTATCTCGGTGTGAGTGGGACAAGTATTTGTTACAATAAACGTAGAAAAGACTTCGCTAAAATAATCTGAAAAAGTCTCAGCTTTTGCTCGATCTGATTCAGCTAGTAATTCTGAATTTTCGTGTAACAGCAATGGGGAATACCATCACTACGTTTCATTTGCCGTTTAACATACGAAAACAATCGTTTCGGACAAGTACGGCTATCATATACTAACTGTCGTTCGTAAGTGGTACGGGATTCGGCTATGGTTTTCTTACAGATATTACTGAATTTTTGGTACTCACGCTTAAATGGTGCATGACCTCTCAACAAGAATAAGTCCCATAAATGTTTCCTACGCTTTAACAGCATCCGGGTTTCCTTATTAATCCATGGAGGGCAATGTGATAGCTTACGTGCTGAACATGGGATGAACGGCGACGTTATGGACTCGAATGTAGCCTTAAACTTATTCCATTCATCTTCGATCAATCCATCCGCGTCGACCGACCAATCAGCCGAGATAGCACAGTTTCTGATTTCCGGAATATTAGCTCGCCAGATATTGGGACGGGGTGGAGCAGATACGAATTGTATACCATGCGTCCTAAACTTAAAGTGAATTACAACGTGATCACTGTTCACTAGTGGGGGAAGGTGCTGGATATCAAAGACATCCTCACAGTGGTGGGTGAGGGCGAGGTCCAGCAGTGACGGATCATGTTGCAAATCAATATGTGTCGGTTTTGTGATACATTGTACAAGTGCACACTGAATAACGTTAGATAAAAGGTCGCTATCGAAACTACTACCTGGAGCTGTAAGCTCTGTCTAGTTGATATGCGGTGCGTTGAAATCCCCAATGATGAGACAACATTCTGCCATACTCCAAGAAGAGATATGTCTTAAGATAAAGCCGTCAGCAAGACAAGACGGACTACGGTATATTCCCCCTATAGTCACTAACCCATTCCTAGATTTAATCTTACAACATGCAACCTCACATGTGCCACTGATATGAGCCTCCGATATGGTTGATTGTATACGAAAGTGATCCCTAACGTAAAATATTATACCTCCCCCCTTGCGACTTGAAACTCTATCACTTCTGATACAGATATAACCAGCAATGAAAGGAGAACAGTCTATATCAACGGTGAACCAAGTTTCTGTAACAACGATTATATCGGGACATAATTCTTGCACCATCAGACTTAGCTCGGACGTTTTATTTCTAAGACTACGAGCGTTCGTGTAGCACACACTTAAGGTGTTTTGGAGATCAATCGTTCTACCCATACAGGCCTCGGAAGCATTGGCTTCCAAGACCTGACTACCCGAAAACCCTTAATGGTAAGGTTATTTTCGCCATTTAATTTGCGAGTCCTCAACTCCGTAAGAGCATTCTTCCACTTGATTCGATCCTCAAGCGGCCAATCTGGTCGAATACGGATATTTGAAGCACGAGTTTTTAGTGCGCTTTTCAATAATATGTCTCTTTCTTCGAAACTCCCGAGAACCAGCTTCAGGATCCTTCTTGGTTGGGTCTCGCCTCCAACCCATTTACCAAGTCGTATTACTTTTGTAATATGTACCCCTGAAACCTCTTCAGGTAGTACATTCCTCACCACAGACTCCACTAACTGCAGGTCATGTGCGTGTCTTTTAGCAGGGTCGTTGTCTTTCGACTCCTCTAGATTCCAAATAATTAAACTGTTATTTGTAACGTTTGTGGTTGTCGTATGTCAGCAACAATCTGACGACTTTAATGAATTCGTGGTATTTCCTTTTGGTTGGATAGCGTGACACGTATTAGGTACTTTATATAACGCTTTTATTACCCTAATAATATTCATATCATTTTGGAATGGGTAGCAGGTTTGGTGTCTTGTGTAAGTCTTAACAATGGCAAAATTTCAGTTGATCCAACTTTATTTTGAGAGCTGTGAGATAACCCCCCAACTAACTATTTAGGCAGGAACACAAGAATGAGTGAGAAACTGTACTGGACAAGTGAATCAAATGCACAAATACTCATCCATATATATCGCAGTCTATCCTTAGGAAATTGACATTTGGACCCCGGTGAAATACACTTGACCTTTATGCCACTTCTGACTGCTATCGATTGGCTTTTTCATTCGACTTCTGATTGGCTCGCCATATCGCATATAACAAAAGTGACGATGATAGGAGATTAAGAAAGTCATTTTATATCGTACCTGTCTTGAAGACTGGACGTATTATGTTGTTCTTCCAGTGACTTGGTAATCTCCCTTGGGTTACAGATATACTAAAATATGTAATTTGGGGATTTGTAACAAAATTTTGCAGTTTCTTTGGTAATTCAGCATGAATTTTATCGGGTCACATGGATCTACACCTATCATATTTATTTGACAGATCAAAGATACAGAGTTCTTCACTGATCACAACGTCCATAGTGTCTATGAAGTGTTTGTATGGACTGAAGGGTACAGCATTTACACGATATATAGATTACCAAAAAAACTTGAGAATACCTGAGCATTACCATAATCGCCCTTCGCTACAGACGTGGTACTACTGTCTGCCCATAGTACTTGCATTCTTCCTGTCCACTTTGATTTTGGTTCATGTGTGAATATAAAAGGTTGGGATGTTCTACAAACTTCTTTGATAGCTGTTTTTACATACAACCCCCTTGACTTGTGGATAGTTGGTGCACAAATGTTTCGACGTTTCCAATGTCGCGATTTGTCTCGTCAGTACCTAGTAAACCAAATCTCTCCAACATTCTTTTCTTCTTACGAAGAGAAGTGAGAAGCTCCTAGTGAAGATGGTTCACAGTCCAGGGGGTACCTCGTTAGTTCTTCCACGTTTTGCACTTGGGGACATATAGTAACCGCGTCAACTGAACTTCGTTCGAACAAAGTTTTTGGCTACTCATTCCTCAGATTTGCTGTTCCACCTTAGGTGCATTTAAGTCCCCTAAGGCTAAACACTAATCATTTGAAGACCAAGCGTCAAAACCGTCCGGTAAGACCTCGTCGATCTCATAATTTGAAACTCGATGGATGATGTTGATTTATTGAGTGGCTAGATTGTTGATTTTCTTGCTTGAAACGAACCTGATCTTGCGACTAGGCTTTTCCTGAAAGCTTTCATTTAAAGTTGAGGGAACTAAAAATACTTTCTTGAGTTTCCATTCCTAACAGACCATTTTGAAGTTCGTTTTTCCTTCTTT